AATGCCCACATCACCGCATTCCCCTAGACCTTCAAATTGACACATTCTACAATGGCTTGAACGCATCTTGTCAATCCATTGTGGACAACCGAGCCGAGGGCTATATTGGCAACAAGAATGAAATCGAAGCACTCCGAATCATTGAATCCATTGCTTCGAATCCTCAACTCCAAGGAGGTGATTACAAAGTGGTCGGGATTAATGAAATCTCTATCACAACGGAGATAAACAAAAGGCTTGAAGAAATGGAATCAAAGATTGAGCAAAAGTTCCAAACGGCTCTACAAGCCGTATTGGGAGGAGTCAAACAAATAGCCAACGTGGAGAGCATACCGAACCCGGAAAGTGATTTATCTCAACAACTTGAAGAGGTAAATTATATGAACTCCTATGGGAATCGGGGGAACAATAACTATTCAAATCAACAAAGGTGGAAGCCACAAGCTAGTTCCTCACAACCCCAATCCGGAGCACCTAATTTTGGGCAACCCAAGGAGACTACCATGGAGGATATGATGCAATTCATGTCCAAAAGCATGGCAAGAATGAAGGCCCAAAATGAGGAAAATCATCATAGAGTGGAGGCATCCATTGGGAATCTCCACTCTCAATTCACCAAGTTGGATCTTCGATTTGAAGATCAAAATATGAAGCTCAACCAACGCATCGACACCATTGAGCAATACAACAAGGCATCCATTCGGAATCTTGAAGTACAAATGGGACAACTTTCTCAAAAAGTAAGTTCTAGGGAGCAAGACAAATTTCCTACAACCACGGAGATGAACCCAAGGGAGAACGTGATGGCCATTACCACAAGGAGTGGTAAGACGACGGAGGACCCGAAGATGCCGGAAGAGGAGGAGACCCCGAAAAAGCAAAACAAAGATGGAGATGAGGAACATATGATGCCACCATCCAATATGGCTAACTATGTTCCTCCCATTCCATATCCTCAAAGATTGAAGAAAAAGAATGATGGTGCTCAATATAGAAAATTCCTTGATATTTTTACTAAATTGAGCATCAACATTCCATTTGCCGAAGCGATAGCGGAGATTCCATCTTATGCCAAATTCTTGAAGGGCATACTCTCAAATAAAAAGAAATTGGCAGAATTTGCTACCATTGCCCTTACGGAGGAGTGTAGTGCCATCCTACAAAACAAACTCCCTCCTAAATTGAAGGACCCCGGAAGCTTCACGGTGCCATGTTCTATTGGCAAGATTGGAGAGGTAAGATCCCTTTGTGATCTTGGTGCTAGTATCAACCTCATGCCCCATTCTTTATTTAAAAAACTTGGTGTGGGGGGACTTCAATCAACCACAATAGCCTTACAACTTGCGGATAGATCAATTCGCTACCCTATTGGAGTTATGGAGGACGTTCTTGTTAAAGTTGGGAAATTCTACTTTCCGGTAGATTTTCTTATCTTGGAAATGGAGGAAATGGAGATCCCTATTATTCTTGGAAGGGCATTTCTAGCCACTGCAGCCGCCCTTATTGATGTAAAAAATGGAATTGTCAAATTCCGTGTTGGAGATGAAGAACAAGAGTTCCATGTTTGGGATTCCTTGAAAAAGCACCATGATGACTCTTCTTGCTTTAGCATTGATATTCTTGACACATTGGCTAAAGAGTGTTTTGGGAAAATCATTCATGAAGACCACTTGGAGACTTGCATCATGCTAGGATGCAATGAAAAAGAAGAAAGCCATGAACTTCTTGAGGAAGTTATGTACTTACAAGCCGGAGCTCCTTTCAAACAATTCCGACAAAAGTTTGAAGATCTTGGAACAAGTAAGTCCACATTAAAACCATCTCTTGAGGTTCCACCAAAACCATCTTTGAAAACTTTACCGGAGCACCTCAAATATGCATTTCTTGGAGACAACTCAACTTTCCCGGTAGTAATTTCTTCTTCACTCACGTCTCTTCAAGAAGAAAAATTACTACGGGTATTGAAGGACCACAAAACATCTATTGCATGGTCCTTGGCGGATATTAAGGGTATTAGCCCTTCTCTTTGTATGCACCAGATTTTTATGGAGGAGAATCATAAACCCACGGTGGAGCATCAAAGGAGGCTAAACCCCAACATGAAAGAGGTAGTTAAGGAGGAAGTTCTCAAACTCCTTGACTATGGCATAATTTACCCCATTTCGGATAGTAAATTTGTAAGCCCCGTTCAAGTCGTTCCAAAAAAGGGTGGAATCACGGTGGTAGCCAATAGTAAGAATGAATTAATTCCTACTAGAATGGTCACCGGTTGGAGGATGTGCATAGACTACCGGAAATTGAACTCCGGCACAAAGAAGGACCACTTTCCCCTTCCATTCATGGATGAGATGCTAGAGCGTGTTGCGGGAAATGAGTTCTTTTGTTTCTTGGATGGGTTCTCCGGCTATTTTCAAATAGCTATCTCACCCGAGGACCAAGAAAAGACAACATTCACATGTCCTTTTGGCACATTTGCCTATAGAAGGATGCCATTCGGGTTATGCAATGCCCCCGGGACATTCCAAAGATGTGTGATGGCAATTTTTGCGGACATGGTGGGAGACTTCATGGAGGTATTTATGGATGACTTTTCTGTTTTTGGGAATTCTTTTGACTCGTGCTTACTTTCCCTTGAGAAAGTGCTAACTCGGTGTGAGGAAACCGACTTGGCTCTCAATTGGGAGAAATGCCATTTCATGGTAACCGAGGGGATTGTCTTGGGGCACAAAATTTCTCCCAAAGGCATTGAAGTCGACCAAGCAAAAATTGAAGTCATAAAGAAGCTACCCCCTCCACATTCGGTGAAAGCTATCCGAAGCTTTCTAGGGCATGCCGGTTTCTATCGGCGATTCATTAAAGATTTCTCAAAAATCGCTAAACCTCTATGCGATTTATTAGCCAAGGATGCCCCTTTTGAAATCACTCCAACTCGGCTCAAAGCTTTCAACACTTTAAAGGAAGCTCTTACCTCGGTCCCTATTATTACATCACCGGATTGGTCTCTTCCATTCGAATTGATGTGTGATGCTAGTGATCATGCTATCGGTGTGGTACTTGGGCAAAGAAAAGAAAAGAAACTTCATGCCATATACTATGCATCGAGGTTACTTCATGATGCGGAGCTCAATTATGCCACCACCGAGAAGGAATTTCTAGCCGTCATTTATGCTTTTGACAAATTCCGATCTTACCTCATTGGCCAAAAAGTGATTGTTTATACCGATCACTCCGCCATCAAATACCTCATGAACAAGAAGGATGCCAAACCAAGGTTAATTCGTTGGGTTTTATTACTCCAAGAATTTGACCTTGAAATCCGAGACAAGAAGGGGAGTGAAAACCTTGTGGCGGATCATCTTTCACGACTTGAAGGCACCCCAAACCCCAAGGAAGAGGAGATAAGAGATGATTTCCCATATGAGCAAATCATGGCAATCAAAGAGGTACAACTACCATGGTTCACTGATTTTGTTAATTTTCTTGCAAAAGAAATTATACCTCCATCACTCACTTTCCATCAAAGAAAAAAATTCCTAAGTGATGTAAAGCATTACTATTGGGATGAACCATATCTCTTCAAACATTGTGCCGACGGAATTGTTAGAAGATGCGTACCCGATGAGGAAATCATGTCCGTCTTAAACCATTGTCACAACCTTCCTTGTGGTGGTCACCATGGTCCGGATCGGACGGCAGCGAAGGTCCTCCAATGTGGTCTTTTCTGGCCAACATTATTCAAAGATGCAAGGAGTTATGTGAAAGCTTGTGACCGATGTCAAAGAACCGGAAATCTTAGCCGGAGGAATGAAATGCCTCAAAACATGATCCTTGTGGTAGAACTTTTTGATGTATGGGGATTGGACTTCATGGGACCTTTCCCTAACTCATATGGGAAGAGCTATATCCTTGTAGCCGTGGACTACGTCTCCAAGTGGGTGGAGGCAATAGCTCTACCCGACAACACTAGCAAAAGTGTGAGGGAGTTCGTGAAGAAAAACATTTTCTCACGGTTTGGTGTGCCCCGTACCATCATAAGTGACAATGGCACACATTTCAAGAATTCCCATTTTTCTGGCTTGCTAAAGAAATATGGGTGCAATTTCCGAACCGGAGCAGCCTATCATCCACAAACTAATGGGCAAGTTGAAGTGTCCAACCGAGAGATTAAATCAATTCTAGAAAAAACAGTCGCCACTTCTAGAAAAGATTGAGCGTTAAAGTTAGATGATGCGCTATGGGCATATCGGACGGCTTACAAAACACCGTTGGGCATGTCACCATACCGACTTGTCTATGGAAAATCATGTCATCTTCCCGTGGAACTTGAGCACAAAGCACAGTGGGCACTCTCCAAGCTAAACCTTGATCCTACACTCTCAAAGAAAAGAAGGATGTTCCAAATGGCGGAACTTGAAGAAATCTGAAGGGATGCATATGAGAATTCCCGCATCTACAAGGAAAGAACAAAAGCTTGGCATGATAAAAACATCAACCGGAGGGACTTCTACGTCGGCCAAAAGGTACTACTCTTCAACTCTAGACTTCGCCTTTTTCCCGGAAAGCTAAAATCCCGATGGTCGGGACCGTTCACAATCACCGAGGTCCGACCATACGGGTCAATGATGATTCAAAAGGGTGACCAAACACCATTTCTTGTAAATGGTCACCGACTCAAGCCATACATGGAGTATCATATCACCTCGGCAACCACCGCTTGCCCATTGGAGGAGTAAAAATGTACGTTGCGTCCAGCCTACGACGTTAAACTGAGCGCTAATTGGGAGGCAACCCAACACAAAAAAAAAAAAATTACAGAAAGACCGGCGCCGGTCAGAAGCAACCGGCCCCGGTCCGAAACAGGAAGTCCGGGGCGCATCAAATTGGGACATCCGGCGCCGGACACCTGATAACCGGCGCCGGTCTCTGCGATTAAAACAGCCCCAACCCGCTTAAAAGAACTCACTTTTCGAATACCACCCAAAACCTTAAGAGCTAAACGTCCGGCCACCACCCCAAATCACCCAAATCCGCCGCCCCAAGCTCAAATTTTCACTAAAAGTTTCGGTTTTACATCAAACATCACCTCTAGAGGCTTCTTCATCACTCTTTGAGCATCAATTCAAGGTATTTTGACTCTAAACCCAAATTTCTTCAAATCTTTTCTCTCTTACAAATTTTGGCAAAATATATGTTATAAGTGTTGAATGTTTGTTCCTTGAACTCATTTGGTATATATAAACATGATTCTTGTTCAAGTTTGTGAGATTAAAGTTCAAATTTGGGGGAAATTCTTGAAAAATTTTCCCAAGAACCCTAATGTTGAAATTCTTGTTCTTGGGTGAATTCCTTTTATAATTGATGTTTAGAGATATATTGATACGACTTGTTGTTGATATGAAATCCTCTAAACATGATTGTTACAAGAATCCTTGAATGAACATGAAATTTGAAGAAATTAAAGAACTTTTTGAAACCTTACCTTGGATTGATGAAGAATATTGTGTTGCATGCATGTGTTGAACTAATTGTGCAGGTTCCATGGCTCCTAAACGATGAAATGATGCTACTTCTTCCTCTTCATCCGTACCACGTTTCACCTCCCCGGAGAATGAGGCTTGGTACGATCAAAGGAAGAAGTGGAAAATTGTGATTGAAAAGACCGTGCACCCGGAGATCGAAGCTCTCTATCAACTCTCCGACGCTTTTAACAAATTGGGATGGGCCGTCATGCTCACTCTGACTGGGGCATTCTACCCGACGCTTGTACGGGAGTTCTATGCCAATATTGAGAGGAAAATGGACCCGTATGGGGATATTGTGAGCACTGTTAAAGGCACAAAAATCACCATTAGCAAACAAAGATTGTGCAACTTGCTTCGTATCCCCAACGTTGGTCGTCCGGTTGAAATGAACTCTGTAGTGGTGCTCACCGACCCCGCCTACAACGAGATTGATGTCATGAACGACTATGGTTTCGATGAGGAGCTTAAGGCCCGTGTTCTTGAACCCCGAGAGAGACTAATTGCATACCTTTTGAGTTTCAACATCTTGCCAAGAGCTAGTGACACACATGTGCTTCGGCGGTTGGACCTCTACCTCATGCACAAAATGATGAACGGACTTGGAGAAATCGAGGGCATTCCTTTGGCCCCTCTCATCATGACTGAAATGAGGGCGTCGTCAAAACTAAAAGAGGTGATAAAAACTTTATTTATCCTCTTTTACTCACGATGATTTTCAGGAGTTTTGGCGTCGATCTTAGTAATGAAGAAGTGGAGTACACCGCCGCAGCCCAAATTTTGAGGCCAAGCACTATGGTGTCCCTCCAGTTAAAAAAGGTGGGTGATGCATGGGTTCGCAAGGAAGAGAACGGCGACGAAGAGATGGGAGAAGCTGCCGCACAACCCGCAGCCCGGCCACGGCGAACCATGGCACAGGGCATTGATTATATTGTTGACTCCATGGACCGTATGCATACAAGGATGAACTTGTACGAGGCTAACCAAGAGGACCTCCGTACCCGTCAAACCAGGGTGGAAGAGCATTTGGACCGCATTGACCGAAGGTTTGGGCAATTCACCCAACACTACTATGGTCAATTTGGACACCCCCCTCCCGATCCACAAATTTAACTCCCATTCTTGTTATTTCATATGACATACTCTTCTCTAAACACATGTTTTGTGGATGGTGATTGAAGTTTTATGCTCCTATGATCTCAAGTTTTATACATTGGGACAATGTATCTTAAGTGTGGGGGGTGCATCTCAAGGGTAGCTAAACAAATTTTGTGTGCAAAATATTTTTTTTTAGGGAAGGTAAAAATTATGTTATTTCTCTTTTTAATGGGTATTTGGTTGAGAAAGTTTTTTTTATTATTCACATAAAAATATCATTTTTTTTAGATTTATTACACTACCTTTTACTCTTGAAAACCACTTCCAAAAGAACTCTTGTGATTAGGAACACCATCTTCTTTTATTTCCAACAATGGTTTAAGTACATCTCAAATATTCAAGAACCGTTTTGGAAAACAAGCCACCCTCATATCCCATCAAATAAATTGGGATGATCAAAATGACTTTCAGTAAATGCTTGTTGAGAATCAATTCAAATGAGTTTAAAAAAAAAAAAAAAAAACTCATGATCTCTTTCAAGAATTTCAACTGATCCGCTTCTATACTGAAAAGTCAAATACATCAAAAAGCCATCATACACCCCCAAAAAGTCCTAGTCACAATCCATTCATCTCCTCTCAAGAGTATAAGTAATTTTTCTAAATCTAATGATATTTTTTTTTTGTGTTTAATAGAAAAATGGGTTTTGGACCGAGAACGAAAAAAGAGTTTACAAACATTTTTCTTACCTCTCTTAAAATAATTTATTTTTATGCATATATTTTTGTTGAACTAACCAAGGCATCAAAAGGCGACAACATTGCTCGAGGACTAGCAACGCTCAAGTGTGGGGGAATTTGATAAGCACAATAATTACTTATGTTTTACATAAGTAATTACATTTATCTGTACAAAAATATGAAGCAAAAACAGATAAATATTCTCGAGTTAGCGGAAACATGAAATACGACATGGAGCAATGAAAATAGGGTCAAAAGTCAAAAGGGATCGAAAACCGGCACTTCGGGATCAATTTCGGGCATCAAACGAAGAAAAGAAGCGAAGTACAAAATTGGGCGCAGGGACCGGCGCCGGATGCCCTATAACCGGCGCCGGTCGTCAGGACTTTTTGCCCAATTCGGCCCTGTTTCCAACCGGCGCAGCACAACCGGTGCATTTTTGCACCCGACCGGCGCCGGACATGCTATAACCGGCGCCGGTTGTTCCGATTTTATGCTAAAACAGTCCGACGTGCAGAAGATTTCTGATGGGAAAAACCCATCTTCCTCCATATCTGATCAAATATTTCTTCCATGCTTGATTGTTGGGCTCGAATGGACTAAAAGATGCCAATCTTTAGCCTATATAAAGCCCCCAATTCATCAAACAAGAAAATCATTCCATTCTTGAAGATTAAATTTCAGTTTTTATATTTCCTTTTTGCATTTTCTTGAAGTGTTGGAGAAGAAGCCATTTCTCTCCTCTACAATTGGTTCTAGGTATTATTTCTTGTATGTTATTGTATTTCATTGTTCTTAGTTACACTTTTGTAATTAATATGAGCTCAAGGAGCTAAGTTCTTAGCTAAGGCTAGGGATGAACTTCTATGCCCACTAGGTGTTTGATAAAAGTTCTAAACCAATAAATTGTGATTTATCCTTTACATTTTGATTGTTTATGACTATGGTGTACAACATAGAAGTATGTTAAACTTAGTTTATGCTTGCAATTAACGTTGAGGTCTAAACTATGAACATTAAAGGATAAACATATATATTACCGAGAATAGAAATATATCCGGTATTATATGATACGGGTGTGATGTCTTGATATTCAACGGGGTTTTCGGTAGATGAATGTAAGCCGTAACGGGACTTACACGTAACGAAAACCACGCTCTCGCTGCCTTAACCGGAGTTGAGAATATATTAGCGACATCGTATTCATAATTTTTGGTAAAGAACTAATATTCAACCCTATTAAAGCATTTAAGTGATTCCCGAAGCCTTAGTTGTTGTTATCAATCACTTTAATCAAATTAATTTTAGTTATATCTCTGAAAATTAAAAAGAAGAATCAAGTTGTTGTTTTTACAACAACACACAACTCAAAATCCCTGCACTTTACTCATTTATTTAAAGTCATCTACTTTCGGACTAATTAAACAACGTTTCCCTGTGGATTCGACCCGGTATTTTACCGGAATTTATTACTATATCGGCACTTGTACACTTGCAAGTTTAGCCCGGTCAACAACAAACAAAGCAAAAGTAAAAACAAAAGCAGAAAAAAAGCTCGGGTTGCCTCCCGAGAAGCGCTATTTTTAACGTCGTTTGCCCGACACAACTACCCCATAGGCTCTCCAATAGCAAAGACTGTAGTGGTGCACTTATAGTCAACGTCTCCAGCTTCCTCTCAACAGATGTCATTAGGTGGCGCAGATCTTTAAATTCGTCAGCCCACAAAGGCAGCACATGGTCTTCATAACCCTCATCAGCACAGAAGTGAAGTATGAAACTCTCATCCTCTTCAGGTGGACAGAAAACATGAGTGAAAACTTTGATTACTCTAGGTATCACCGGAAGCTCAAAAGATGTCTCAAAGCAATGAGTAGGAGCAACATCGTAATCAAACTGCACCATAGAAAAGTCTTCTTCTTCATCTCCAAACATAGGAGGGTCTTCAAAAGCATCAGGAAGTGTATCATCCATCATATTCCCACCTTCGCAGTCCGACTCACTCACATGATCATCCCTATTGGTCTCCTTAGGTTGGGCTTCTGTGTCGCTAGGATGGGATCTCTCGGACTCCTCAGATAAAGCCTTTGCAATCTGCCCCAATTGATTCTCCATGTTTTGCATCCTTGAGTCTGCTTGCTGTTGAATTTGGATTTGTTGCTGTTGAATTTGCATTTGTTGCTGTTGAATTTGCATTTGTTGCTGTAATAATTTCTTGAGTGTTTCTTCCAGGTAAGACAGCTTCTCTGAAATTATCTCTTCCACTTCATCTTGTGGCTCATAGCTCAACAAAGACGTAGGAGTGACTGAAACATTTGTGTTCGTAAATTGTGGGGAGGAAGAAGTGGGGTATGCAGTTTCCCGGAAAGGATGGTCATATAGAGGTTTGATGGGGCAAAGACATAAATGATGACCTCCTCCACAGAAGGAACAAATGCTACCCTTAAAACATTCAGATATTTCCTCAGGCGTTTTATTTAGAAGCATAAATTCAAGAATGGAGCCTCGTCTTACGCTTACCCAAGGGTAATGTGATGAAGGATAGTAAGAATCAGAATGAAAGGGTTGTGTGGTTGGAGTGTACGGATAAGAAGGCTGAATATTTTGTGGTGTAGGAGAGTAATTTTGATGAGGTGTATAATATTGAGGAGGAGGAGTGTAAGGAGGGTATGGCGTATATGGTGAAAATTCCATGGAGGTTTGGGGAAAAGGACTTCCTCCAGGAATTTGGCTGAATGGGTTCATCTCATGCCTCTTTGAAAAAAACCTGAAAGGTTAGCACAGAAAATCCTACGAAGAACAAAAAGAAAACTAACAAAAAAAATCTCGCTGAAATTAATTAACCCTCAAAACCGACACCGTCCCCGGCAACGGCGCCAAAAACTGATGTGTGTTTTCTCGCACTTAAAATAGATCGTAATATAGTGATGTAAGTACTAGTATCGTCTCCACAGGGACGGACAAAAGGGAATCAAGAATTAATTAAATTCAGCGATTAAAAAGAAAATAAAATAAAAGCGTCGTGCGAGATTGGTTGATGGAAAAATAAAACTAATGCGAACAATTAAACTAGGGGGTTCTTCCTAATTAATGACGAAGGGAACAGGGATCGATTCCGGAGTAACCAGATTTCTGGCAGATCAGGCCTAATTACATGAAATTAATTTAATTGAGCCTAGCTAATCATTACTAAATTCTTACCGCTCTCGCGGCGTAGAGTACAATAATTTAGGGGACCAGGCTGATCTCTCATGCGACAGGATCCTAAATTATTGCCAAGACGAGCGAGCTTACGGCCCCTTAATCGCTACTAATCTCTTAGTGAACGATTAAGTGTGTGTGAATGTGTCCTAGAACAAATTAGATCTCTCTTAATTTATTCTACATGCAATTGTAATTCTAGTCGCGATTCTAGGTTACAAAAGATATCAATTAAATTATTCAAACACAAATTAAACGGCATTCATGCAATTAAACCGAAAAGAATCTAGCCATACATCATGATTAACCCCTTCATCAGTCCCAAATCCCTAATTAAAACTACTCACAATTCATAATTGAAGAATCAATAGAATTGGAATAAAAAGAATTAATTGTCATTAATTAAAAAGGTGGAACTTACAAAGAATCCCAAAAGATTGATGAACAAGGTTGAAAAGCCCTCTAAAATTCGTGCTAGGCACTCTCTCTAAGCTCCCCCTTGAAAACGGGGGT